TGTGCTCTTCCGATCTCCCCAAAACCCCAAAACCCCTAAAATAATGAATCTAACACTAATTAGAGAATATAAAATCTTTAAAAAAGTAAAAAATATATTAGATATATAGATGTGAATTAGTTTGTTAGAATTTTCATTTAAAATATCTACTCTTTCATCCAATTATCACAAAAGTCTCGACCCGGCTTCGGATCTAAAATTTCTAAACCCGTCTGAAGGCATAGTCAGCTTACTAAGCCTGCGAGAATTGTTGCCTCCATTCATAGGCTAGAGGGAAATCTTGTCGAGGTTATCAAAAAGGCTGTTTGTATAGGATTCCCTCTCGAAGTACTGCATGGTCTCATCGTTTTCGTTATCCTCAAACAGTAGCATATCATCTAATTCCTGATCCTTCATTATTTGATCTGTTGACTCCTCCAAATCTAGCAGATTCTTATCAACCTAATACGAACTCAAGTCTACCCCGCCCTTGTCAAGAGCTGAAGTTTTAAACGTCTAAGTCTGATGGTTGCTGCTGATTGTTGAGCTTTTGTTCTTCCCTAGTTTGAGTTCCTCTTTAAATTTCTTCATGAATCTTGATGCGAATTAGTCTAGCTTAGGAGCTTGCTCACTTTTTTAATGCTTTTGATACGTAGAAGAGTTAATATCAGCGTTACGATCATTCTTGGTAGAATTTCTATGCTATTAAGTATAGTTGCCTGTGAATTCTTTAGGAGTTGGTGCGTTGATTTAGGTTGTTCGTTATCTGATATGCCTTGCTGAAGATTCAGTTTGAGTATCTTGATAATAATCATTTGGTTTAAAATCTCTCTCAGAGTTGAGATGAGAACTGTTTTATGAATTATGCTCCTTTAACTTATTTAAATTCAGCGAACTTATTTCCTTTATGTTTTTCACAGTCCTTCTTCCTGCATTAGTGCTCGCATTTGCATTACTGCTTGGCAAATTATTGCTAAATATATTTGAATTGCTATTCTTTTGTTCTTCTCGAGTCTCATTGAGCTTTTTATCCTTATCCGAAAGCACAGTAGAGTTATTCTTATGAATGATTGTCTATCTTTTCAGCTAATAGTGCTTGCTAATAGGAATATTCCCTAAATTTTATTGATAATTGCTGTTCGGGATTAATTTCCCACTAGTCCTAGAATCGTTATTATAATTCTTGTTCAATCCTTTCTTCTCGTTTCCTCCTACACTTGGTGTTTTTATGTTATTCTTTACTCGCACTGCAGGTGTACTCAGATTTATTGGTGTCTCAAGAGTGGGGACAGTTTTCATTTAGTTAAAGGAACCACTAGTATTTATGTTGTCAGGAACTATCTTTTACTGTGCAATCATTGCTCTACTATTTTGATTTCTCTTATTTTGCAGCTATTTAATATTGCTGATCATTTTCATATCTTCCTCTTTAAACAAGTTATTCTCTTCTGAGTGAATATTTTTAAGGATTTATCTCTAAGATTTCAGGGATTATATATCATTTTTCAAAATTGAATGGGATCGACGTTTGTTATTGAAACCGAACATTGCTGATGGCTTGGGTTTAGTATTGTTTGTGATGTTTGAAGGAGCTTTATCTATTTTAAGTTATTCAGGTAGATCCATCGCTAATGGAAAAGGATTTTCGACAGAGACTTCATTCATAACAGTGCTATTCAATAGCAATTAGTTATTTTTTGCTTGAATTTTATTCTATGCAGTGCTATGATTAATTATAGTAGGATTCTAAGTTTAAAGCTCCTTTTTGCTGTATTGATTACTCTCGTTAATATTGTTATTAGTATTGCTATTGCTATTATTGTTGTTTGATTAATTTACAGTAATATTGTTGTTTGTGGTTGAATTCTGAGTGCTTTTATTTCCGCTAGTAAGTGATTGTCTTCGAGATGTTTTAGCCATTTGATTTGAGTTTTGAGATGCACTTACGCTTTATATTTTTTAACTTTTGTCCTTGAATTATTGAAACATTGGCACACTGTGATTCACCATTCCTCCAATTTTTCTAGAATGCCTAGTTTATTTGGGATCAGTTCTTTCTGGAGTATCTCCTCCAAAAGATGGAGCTATAAAACTTTCTCGAGAAGCATATATATCATCTTCAGTTCCTTACATTCCAAAGTGTTCTAAGGCATTCTCAAAAATCATAGAAGAAGTGTTTTCGTTAAATCTTTTAGTGGATATTGGACTTTTTTCTGAGTTTTTCATTGGAGTTGGATTGGAATTTCTGGGATTCACCAATTCATTTTTCTGAGTATTTCTTCTATTTAAAGCACTGCTTTAACTAGGCCTTAATGAGTTGTTATTATCAGCATTTTTTACACTTGTTGCAACTTATTACACAGATGGCCTTTTATCATTAAACATCATACCTCCATTCTAATCTGCATTTTTATAAGATTACTATTAATTTTTTTACTATTACTATTGGATTCTTTCAAGATTTAGCTCTGCAGGGAGCTTAATCTTTAGTAATTTACATTTTGACTGAAAACTGTCCATACATATGATTTCATCAATAGATATCCTAGTTTCAGGTTTTTTAATAAGACATTTCTAAATTATCTCTGATAATGATTTACTCACTGTCATTGGGATCGGATTGTATTTTTCTTTAATGACCTTTGCTTAGAGTTCCTCTATCGTGTTCGCAAAATACGGATACTTATGAGTGCAGAGCTCATACAATATAACTCCTAGAGACCAGATATCTGACTTTTTAGTGCATTCCTTATCGTCCCAAAGCTCTGGAGCTAAATAAAAAGGAGTTCCAACCTTTCTCTTTGATTTTGAATCTTCTCTGCAAACCCCGCTTAACAACATGAAATCATCGTTCAAGTCCTCTTCTTCTATCTTTTAAAGTTATTAGAATTTTTCTTCTTATGATTCTTGTTTATCCTGGTTTTGATCTATTTTAAGTGCTGCTCCGAAATCTCCGATTTTTGCCTCTTTATCCTTCCCAAGTAAGATATTTAGAGTTTTCAAATCACGATGGAGAACATTTTTATTATGGAGGTAATGAACTCCTAAGCATATCTGAATAAACATTTTCCAAACAAAATTTTCTGTAAATAGCTTTCCGTTTTATTTCTTTATATAAGTTTGCAGATCACCATTGTGACAATACTCCATTATAATGTTGATTTTAGTATCCTCGATGAAAGCATCTAAATAACCAACGATGTATAGTGAGTCCAACTCAGCCAAAAGTTCTATTTCCATCATTTACTCGAGAGCAAGTTCTTTTGGCCATTTTGCTGTATCAATTTCTTTCACGACATATAGCTAATCCTGAAACAGCTGTCTTGTTTGTTACTAATTAGCCAACGATGAATTAATATTATAGCCAAGCATATTTTTTGTAAGTTTCTTCCTCATTCTCATTGTGGGTGTTAAAACGTTTGCCTCTCCACTTATTATTGAACTTTTTAAGCATTTCACCTTGAATACTCTGCCGTAAGCACCCTCTCCAATTGTTTTAATTATTTCAAACATTTCCCAACTCGGATTAGTAACTCCCTCCTATCCCATACAAATGGAGTTGTTTGTCATGTTTGTTTGATTTAATATCGACGAATTTTAAAAGTCTATTGAAGATTAATCCTGCAAAGTTGAGGTGTTTTATTGGTTTTAGGGGAAAATAAAATCTTAATTGTCCTCAGTTAAAATCTCTAGATTTTTAGTAGGTCTTAAAGACACTTTTTTCCTTAAGCTTTCTGGAGAAGATTGCTCCATTGGTAAATCACCTTATGATTTCAATGCTGCCATTAAAAACTCTTTAAGATCAATTAATTTATTTTATTATAAACTTCTCCATAAGACTATCCCTGCTCTAAGGGGTTTTGGGGTTTTGGGGTTTTGGGGTTTTGGGG